CACTTCTGCTTCTGAATAATACACTTTATGTTATTTGAATCACTGAGTTTGAGTTTAATCTTTTAGCTGCTAACACAGTGTTAGAACTTTGTTGTTGAATAACTGATAGTCTCTTTTTTTCCTTTATTGTTTTACTGTAATGAAATGTAATGATGAAACAGGTAGCAAACTCAAATGTCACATGTGCCATGAGCTACAGGATTAGTTTCCATCATCTTGTATAGATGTGGCTGTTTCACACCTCGAGAACACGTGCTCCCACCACCACGGTCACGCAAATCAAAGGAACCTGAACACTAACACACGGAGGGATGACGAGAACCCACACAAACCCAGAAACCCCAAGTGGCCCCAACCAACAGTGAAGACCAGGACAGAGTGGATAATAAGGTGCTGAGCCAAAAACATGCAGGGAGGCCTCCACCAGTGCCCGAGGCCACACAACGCATCCTGGTCTCACCCAAGCAGTATGGACTGCAAAGAAAAGGAACCATAGCACAGTAAGAGCTAAGGGAACCCTAACAAACCCAAAGCCCAGGAAATATACCAGCTGGCACAACCCCAGCAGCACAGGGTGCCCACATGACACCGCCCCCCCCAACCTAAATCAAAGTCCATAAACTGTAGGTGCTTTCAGCTGCTCCCTTACTTCCCAAGGGGTCACCACAACAGACAGATGTGTTACCTTTGCCACCAATTTTGCACCAGATGCCTTTCCTAATTTGTGTCTTCTCCTGGTCTTGAAACCTTTAAAATTTCTTGTGTCAAGAACATTTTTGAACCACTACAGTAGGGATCCACTCCTTTTTCATAGTTGCACAGTGTGTGAAACAATTCCCATCCTAACCTCTAATGGCATCCAGCCAAGCAGAAAGATTTTGTGCTACTTTGTCAAGAAAAAACTGTTTACAGCATTCATAGGAATCATTATGAGAAGACAGCTAACAGCCATGGTTATAGGTTTTGCAGTCGTGTTAATATATTTTTTTACTTTTTCCTTTGTCTTAGTACCGCACTGATTTATCACTGTGTATGAAACAAAACAGGCAACTCTTTGCATGTGTGTGATGTTGGGCCAGATTATCAATAAATGGTCTCCTTAGCTACAAAACACAAAAAGGTAGGAGGTGATTTCATGCTTGAGGAAGAACGCTGCTCTGACATAAACAAGATGTTAATCTTGCATGCACTGTATGCACAAATACTGAACCCGCCCGCACACAAGATCCAGTCAGAGATATGTAAGCATCTTTAAATGTTTCTGCAAATAAAGAGATCCTGACCATTCACAGAGAGGATAAAACCTTGCATGCCAGCTTGTGTAAAAGGGTGAGGGTAAGAAGACAGGAGCAGACAAGCTGTATTAAAGCAAACTAACACCGACCTTCTTACGTCAAGATGACAAGATAGCAGCAGACTTCCTTTATTCCCACGGCAAACCCTTTGTCCTAAAGTCAAGCTTACTCATGTCAAAAGATACACTGAAAAAATGATTGATGAAGTTTTATTCACATATAATGCAAGAACTTGCAGAAGTGTGCTCAACATGTTTTAATGCTAAACAAAAGTAAATTTTGCAAATTTCTATACTGTAGTTTCCGATCAGTCACAGGTAAACATCTTTTCAGAGGATTTTTACCTGAGAAGTATTTCCAACAAGCAGTGTATGTCTTTGTGGTTGAGCAAAAGCAGACTGGATCAGTGCGGGGCATATCTGAGCATTCAAAGTCTCTTACCGCTTTGATAACTATAACGATCTGGTGATGGATCGAGAACGAATGAGAAGCAGTTCTTTCATGTGCAGGAAATGATCTGATCTGATAAAATGCAGATGTGCCAACATGTGATTCAGCAGGAACAGGTGAGGGTACACTCCTGTGGGTTTTCCCTACAGGAAGGAAAGAGAGCAGCCAGAGGCAAGATGCTCTCAAAATATATATTGTAATATAAAGCACCTTGAGATAATTGTTGGGATTTGGTACTGTATAAATAAAATTGAATTCAATTGAAATAAATTGAGATGACTGTTAAAACTACACATTTTCATAATCTGTTTGTAGCAGCTGCTTCGCACCTTGACTTTCTCTGCTGTTGCTGTGAGTATTTCTCAGTGAAATGTGATTCGTAAGAATGCCTTTAGTTATGTGGAGCAAACTGGAAACCACTTCCCCCTTGCATGCTCCAAATGTCAACTAGAGAATCAGGACTAAATAATGCAGCTCTTCCTTATAGTAAGATTACTATGAATCGCTCTCCATTTCATTTCTGTCTTTAGGATCTTCCTCTATACTATGTCGGTTAATGTGTTTTACAGTGATGCATATTGAATGTTTCCAACTTAAACCCTAGAAATGATTAATGTGGTTTTCTTTTACTCATGTTTCTCCTCTTATGTTTGTAGGCCATCACATTTTTTGTAAACAAAAACAAAAAATTGGACATGATGGTGAGTCTGTACCTGTGATCTGTTACAGATTTGGTACACAAAAAGTGGAGCTGCACACTGGGCTTTTTACGGATGTAAAATGTTTAATCATACAGTAACTTGATATTGTTTTAGTTGTATAATCAAAGTACCTAAAGTAAACACATTATGTAGAATCTCACTTTTCAGAATACTATGGAGAACTGGATTTGCTGGAATTACTGGATCATAATTATTGACCCAATGATGTGCATTTAAAGCTATTTGTTGGTGGGTGGTGGTATTTAAAAAAGAAAAATTCATGAATGTAAAAATATTTGAAAGGGCCAATACAAGGCTTACAGGATCCAGATACACTACAGGCCAGATTCATTCAACCAGAAGGTCAAATGTTATACAATGATTGACTTTGCAAATATAAAACTTAGTAGAATCACTGGCAATTCTAATTGTAAATAAGAAAACGATTTAACCACTTGCTCAAATCATAAAAAAACTTCTTGTGTTTTTTTTTTTTATTACCAAGACAAACTTATCACCATGTGAAGATTTTGTGATTCTGAACTGTAAGCACAAATAAAGATAACAGACTTATTAAATATGGAAAGACTCTGGCATATTGTGGAAAACTGGCTGTTGATCATCATGAGTGTTTTACAATATGCATGCACTTCTTGACACCAAAAGAAAGAGAAAAAACTGCTTTCTATAACATTTCAGATGAAACTGAGCACATGAAGTAAAATCAGACACTCCTGGCTTAATATTTGAGAATAGTTCAAGAAAAGATAAACCTGTAGCAAGCCAAGTGTTTTTGCGCTCTTTTGATTCATTTTTTGTTTTGTTTTTTTGTTTATTTGGCAATACATGATGATGCTGTTGTATCTCCCTGGATATTTGACCACTCTCAGAATTAGTTGAGTTCATTTAAAATGCTTGGTTTCCTGGCATGGGCTTTATATTTTCCAAAAACCAGTTTTGATGTGTGTTTGGGATCATTTTCCTGTTGGAACATTAAACTGTGTCCAAGTTTCAGCCATTTAGCTATTGATTTGAGGAGGTCCTCCTTCTTCATTGTTCCATACATGTTCTGCAATGTACCAATACAAATGTCAGCAAAGCAGCCCAAGAGTATGATGCTACCACCAGCAGCTGTCAGAGTATTCTTAGGTAAAGTATCACCTTTACTCCTCCAAGAATACAACTTGACATTGTGACTAAATAACTTAATCTTTGTCTCGTCTGACCAAAAACCTTTTCTCCAGAAAGCATTTGGCTTCTATGTGTATACACTTCATTAGAGAATGAAGATGTGAGTTTTGGAGCAGAGGTTTCCTTCTTGGTTGGCACCCTTACCATCCATGGTGTTGTAAAACCCATTTCACTGTGGACAGTTAAGCTGCTGTTCCAACAAGTTCTAGTTCATGGCAGGCTTGAGTCTCGGTGGTTCCTGGGTTGTTCCTTAATACCCTAACCAGTTTCCTCCCATCTGTGGCTGACAGTTTGAGCCTTCTTTCTGACTTTGGCAAAGTGGAACTGATAAATTTTGAAATCTGCATTTGTTTAGAAATGGCTCCAAGAGACCTTTCTAATTTGTGGAAATGTATAATTCTCCTTCTTAGATCCTTACTGAGTTCCTTTGTCATTAACATGTATGCTGTGCAATTATTCCACAAGAACAATTTAAAGAACACATTAAATTACCATGACGTTACATATACTAATCATGGGTATTAAACTTTTCACCCAACTGTAGATAATACATGTGCACTTCAGAATTATGTAGATGTCATGAGAGCTAATATTTCAGTTGGTTTTAGCAACATTGGATGCAAAAACATGCAAAGCCAATAGTGTGGTGAGTACAAAGCTCCATGAAAACACATCTCAATATAAAGGTTATTATCAACCAATTTCAGGACAAACACCTATTAATGCTCTTCAGTGGCTCAGAATTGCATCAATAATAGGGTAAAATAAGCATAATTTATCACAAAAGTTATGTTATAAAGTCAGTGAAGTGAAAACCTTCCAAAAACTAACATTCGATATGCAAGGATTACTCTGGGTAAGTAGGCGGAAAGGAATTGCTCATCTCATGGCAGACACCAAAGAGAAGCAAATTTCAAGCCACAAACAAATGGTAGGAAAATTCTCCGGAAAGATGAAGACAACTGACACAGCATACACACAAACATGCATAACATGTGCAAAGTCTTTACCTCTAGGTACATGTTAATTAAATGCAGTGTCCTAATTATGTGAAAACCATTAAGGTCATTAAATGAGACTGTGCCATTCAATCTTCATACACCAGAGTTTGCATTTGTTTTTTGTCTTTTCATTATGATGAAAAAGGTTTTATTCAATAATTTTAAAAAGTTCATATCTGTTCATACCACACATGTAAATTTTCTGTTTTGTTTACCATTTGCTCTAAAGTGTCAGGTTGGGTGGTCAGGAGAAGGTGGACATGAGGACTGAATTTGCATGAAACCGTCTGCATAAAAACATGATGCACTGACATGAAAGCGCACTGAAACTTTCTGGGTTCAGTCTCCTGCTTATTGGCATCATGGCTTTATGTTTACCTCTACTGGTTTTGTGCTGTTTCTTTAGAGTGAGCTTTAGTGAGAGTTTTCCTGAATGGTTCAGCAACATTTCTGCCAACCTCTTCAGTTTACCTGGGGACATTATGCTTGGCGGGCTCTTTCCCATTAACGACCTCAACAGCAACGTCAGTGACATAACAGAGCCAAACCAGATAACCTGTGACAGGTAAGGATGGTTATGAAGGACTCTTTAAAAAACTGAGATTCTATCTTTATTTTTAACAGGAGTGGAAAAGTAGGAGTATTTTCAAAGGAATCCATTTCAGTGAAGATCTTCCAAAATCTTACCAGTCCTGTTTTAGCTAAAGAATTAAAGTATCAGAATCTATATCTAAGATATCTGGTTATAAATCCGGGTGGAATTGCTTCTTTATTCATTATGTTATAAAATGTACAAATCCTTCTTCATGTTTTAAGTCAGCAAATGTGTTTCACTTGAATGGAATTTTCTTCTCAGCTTTATTTATGTATTACTTTTGAGTGCATTTCCATTGAAATATATTTTCTCTTCTTAAATTGTCATGGTTATAAATTAATTATTTAAAAAACAGTAGCAAAGTGCTATGTTTTTCAACTTATTCATTAATACTGGTGAAGTTTTGTCTTTATGTATGCTCAATAATCCAAGTAAGGAAATACCTGGATGCATTACATTGGGTGATGATACATTACAATTCAGTTCAAAATGTTTTGCATGGGAGAAATGTTTCATTATCTGACTGCAGGTTTCCCCAGACTTATAAACAGCACAGGTACTTAATGATCAAAACTAGTATCACGGTATATAATTTTATAAATGTGGGTTTTTTTGTTTGTTTTTTTATGTCTGCTATGATTGCTGTTCATTATTTGTGTTAAGTAAATAAGAAATAGAAATAAGTACTGCACTCAATATGGTCCTTGTCTTGCTTTGGTATGACAAACATAATAATAATTTCATGTCAAGCATTCTTCTTTCCGAAAAATCAACTTAAATGTCTGGACATAAATTAACTTAAAGGTGTTGTAAAAACATTCATTACCGTATCCATCATTTCCCACAATCCTTGTGCTTCCTCAGTTATGAGTTTTGTTAGTTGTGCATTATATGCAATAGATTAATTGTATTTATATACTTTTTAAATCCAAATTATTTTCTTTTCATTCAAGTATTTGATATTATCTACAACGTATGTTTTGTTAGTGTAATAATTTCCCCTCGTACGTTACAGATAACCGCACACTCCTTTTGACTATGTTTTAACCAAAAATTGTTGTATTGTATAACTAATATTTTGCATTTATTTCCTTCTGTACTTTATTAAGTTACTTCCGACTGGATATAATATTACGTCTCATCAATGCATTTGCTGCCTCCTATAATAGATATTTTTTCTTCATTTTAATTGTTCCAAAGATCACAATTCTACTGTTATTGTTCTTATAACATGATCTCCCACCTCTATCGCATTAATTTCACATTTCCTTATACTCATTATATCAAGTTTTTTAATCTAATATATATTTTTATATCTAACATTTCAGATTCTAAATCACTGTGTATACTGACCCTGACTAAAAAAGTTTTTTATTTTTTTCTACTTGGGACTCAACAGAGTAAATGATCTTGGACTGGGACTTGCAATAGCCATGAAATACGCAGTGGATGAAATCAACGGAAACCAGACTCTCCTCCCTGGCATCAAGTTAGGTTATGAAATCTATGACACATGCAGCCAGTCGGCCATTATTGTAAAGCCCACTCTGTCCTTCCTCACTGAAAAATCCAGCAAAGAACTATCTGTGCGGTGTAATTACACC